CCTGTAGTTTCTCGGGTTCCCCAGTTGCCTCGCCTATATAGATTTATATATATCTATATACGCCTATGTCTCCCAGCACAGCTGCAGGCGATACAAATTGCAATTTAAAATTAGCCTGTTATATTTGGCCAAAACGGTTCATCTCTCACCCTAATGTCTTGGCAGGGCCCAGACCCAAATGATTTTGTGGGCCCCTATATGGCCCGTAGGCTCGACAGGAACATCTTCCAATTCTGATATTTTTAGATATGCGAATTTTGAAGTCTAGAGAATAAAAAGGACATGTCCTAGATTTCATAATGAGGAAGAAACAGAACCAGGGCTAGACTTTGGTCTTTTCATAGCTATTAAAATGTATACTTCAAGATGATGCAGAAAAATCTTGGTCAGTCATGGATCTCTTTCAGTTGGACACTTGTCTTTCCAAAGAGAAACAACTATTAACCAGTCTTGGGGGACAGGGAGGTTGGTATTGGGAATGTTTACATTTTACCATCACATGCCCATTATCCAAGTATGCATGAGAAATCCACTTCCTTTCTCTTAAGCTCTCTTAGGAGGATAGAAAAGAGGACCAGGAGGAAGATGAGGAAAAGGAGGAGGAGGAGGAGGAGGAGGAGGAGGAGGAAGGGAAGGAGAGAGAGAAATATCAATTTGTTGTTAACTTGCCTTACTTGTTAAACAAGAGATGGTGAATCAACAAAATTCCTTCTGGCTCTAAAAAATTTGAGTCAGATGGATCTATTACCCTTTACCTATCCTACCACTAGAGGGCACTCACACACTGGGCTATGCTGCAGAGGTATCACCAGTGTCTGAGGTAACTTACAGGCTCTTTCCCATCCATGGCCTCCATCCATAGCCTTCTATTAGCTTCTGAAAGGGCCTGTAGAGTGATGGTTCCTGGCCTAAGGAAAGAAAAATGAGAAGTTGAAAGCAAAAAACTCATCTAAGAGAATGGAGTCTTGTGATCTAAGGTCCCCCTCAGCCCTGGGAAGTGTCACACTGAGTAGGCACAGGCATACAGAACTCAAATTTTTCAAAGTCTGTTTTACTCAGAAAACAAGAGAATATTTAGAGAACAGTAAGTTTGGGAACCCTGAAGGAGGGGCTATCTTGGCTAGGGTTGGGCAAGAAAATAGGAGGGCAGATGCCAGGACACCTCACCATAATATACACTTAAATTGGCCCTATACTGTTTGAGCCAAACTGAGGCTCTCCCTGCCCTCTCAGAAGCCAGCCATTTGGTCTGAGCTATAGGGGTGAGCATGTTCATCCTGGGCACATTCATCTCAGAAAAGTGGCTTTGCTACTTCCACCACCTAGGATGCCCAGGAGAATTTCTAATTGGCACAACATGCACAGTGGCTAACTTAAGCAATCTTATGACTAATAATAACTAAGAGTTACTAAATGCTCACTAGGTACCAGGTTCTGTTCTAAGCACTTTATAGGCATTAATTTATTTAATCTACCCAGGAAGCCCATAAAGCAGGTACTACAGAGGGTTTTTGTTTAAATCCTGTTTTATAGAAGCAGTAACTGAGGAATAGAGAGGTTACCTAAGTTAACATATTGGGTAAGTATAGTAGACCAGAATTTGAATTTAGTAATCCTGGCCTAGTAGCTATGTTCTTCCTTAACCATTACACTATAAGGCCTCTTCATCATGGCAGAGGGCCTCAATACCAATTTTATTTTACTTACTTGCAGGCTACCTATACCCAGAGATATCCCAAGTTGTTATATGTGTATTATCTTTTTCAACCTTCAAAAAACGAAACAAATTGGAAATTTGGGATTGACCATATTATTACAAGCATAAAGTCTCCTTGCATTCTTTACCTCACTGTGCCATTATGAGAAGCTTGCTCCTCTCACTACTTATATAAGATGAGACCTCTCTCAAGTCATGAAATGATAAGAACAATGATGAGAGACCTTGCAAAAGTCACTGGGCCTCTGTGGGCCTGTTTCATTATCCATAAGGTTGTTGAAACACACAAGTTGGGAGGTGCTTTCTAGTCCTGATATCATGGGATTCCTGTTCTACCTGCCCTTCCATCTCTTACTTCATTAAAGTACTCCTTAAAAAAGAACACTCTTAAATCATCTTTAAGGAAGAATCAATTGAAAACCAGGACTTGGCTTTGGATAGTGAATTCTTCACATCTACCTTTCTCTTAGAAACACCCAACCTTTTGGATATATTTAATGGGGCTAGAAAGTCTAGAAATCTTTGTAAAAGCAGCTATGTAGCTGAATCCTGCAGCCGGAAAGAAGGAAAAGAAGAAAATGGACAACCGACAGAAAAGCAGAAACTGAGGACCAGATATTACATTAAAACCATTCTGAAACTGAGCTTCCCTAACTGGGAAATCCAAAAGCCAGTATGTGTCCTTGCTTCACTTTACAGAGAAGCTAAATAAACAAGTACTATTCAGGAAGCATTTAGAGATTTTTAAGTGCTACAGAAAGTCAAATTCAAAGAACAATACTGTTAAGGAATAAAATGACAAAGTATAGAGTACTGACTTCTAGTCCAGGGTTTTCTATTCTGACCTAAGATAAATCCTTTGCCCTCCCTGAGGTCTCAGTGACCCATCTGGAACAAAAAAGCATACACAGAATATCTGCAGAAAAGTGTAGTAATTAAGAGTGCGAGCTTGGAAAGTAGAATGCCTGGATTTAGATCCTGGCTCTACCATTTTCCAGTTATATAATCTGACTTACTTACTTTCTATCTGTCTCCTTGTTTTCCTTTGTAAAATCGGGATAATAATACCCCCTACTTCATGTGACTGTGGTGAGGACTAAAGGACATTATCACTTAAAGGGCTGAGAACAGTGCTTGGCACATAGGAGGTATTCAGCAAATGTCAGCATTTGTGTTGCTGCTGCTGCTGCTGTTGTTATTGTTGTTGTTGTTGTTGTTATTATCATTATTATTATTATTATTATAACTGCCATTCAAGCTCTGATGGGCTATGAGCTTGTGGCTTCAAATAAAAAGCTATCCTATATTCCTGAAATATATATAAAAAAAAGACTCAAAACCTCCTTTGCTCTGTACTGCAGGGTGTCTGCTGCCTGCTGGGCAGCCTGATTTTGTTCCTTAGAGCAGAATGACTAGCCAGGAAAGACTTCACATCTCTCAGAAAACTCCACATGTGCAGAGGAACCTCAGCACCTGTTCAATGTTATCATTGACCCTCTATTTCACAGCACAGGTATTTTGCTTACAATACAGAATGGAATAAAGTTAAAAAGAACATAGGCTTTGGAGACCTACAGACCAGGGTGTGAGCTCAGCCTTGCTACTATGCGACTTTGATTTGAGATTAAATAAGAGAATGTTTTTTTAAAGTGCCCAATATGTGGTAACAAAAATTATAGACACATTGAAACTTTAACTCCTGGGTTCTAGTCTCAGAAATCCAGGGTATGAAAAAAATAGATTAAAAAAATGAACACCAAATTTATTATCTACCATGAGTCATACATAGCACGAGGTGCAAGATACATATATATGAATTGTCCTCAGCTTCTAACCTCAGAGCCAAATTATTTGTAACTGCTTGGGTCCATGGGAATATTATCAGCAAATACTTAGCTCCCAATTTAGGCTGAAAAGGTAATTAGAATGAAACTAATGGCAGAAAATTTTTATTTATTTTAAGCACCTTCATGCTGTAAAGCCAGAAACAGTAAAGGTTCATGAAAGGAAAGCCATAGCCAAAAGTCATTTTTCCCTTCCTACTGGGCCAGTAGCTTTGGGGAACATGAGTGACAGAATCATGGTTACTAGTAACTATATTTACTATCACAGTCATCTTTGATTAGGACCATCCATTATTAACCCCCCAAAAATTATCTTGGTTCACACACAGAAATTTAAAATAGGGAAACTGTAGTAACTTATTCCCAGACCAAAAAAGCCCTGACCTCTTAGACTAATCTTTATGAATCCAGTCACTGAAAGTTTTGTTCATATAATATTATTGTAATTGAACCTCCAGGTTCCTTTGTAGTAATATGATCAGTTTGTTAAATTATATTCTATTACTCAGTACCTACTTCATAGAAGCAACAGACTGAAATAAAATATAGAAGCCTATTTATTCACTGAAATTTGGATCAATCTCCCACCTACATAACATGTGTTTATCCAAAGTAATTCCAAATGCTCTCATTTTAAAATTTAAAGGTTAAATTTGCCTCTTACAAAATGTCCTCAGGTCAGGAAAAAAAAAGAGGGCACCAGAGAGAAACAAGTGAAACCAAGTCCAAAGTTTGTAAGCCTTGGCTGAAATCAGAAAGTTGATAATAAAACTATTTCCACTTTACATAAATATCTGCAAAGTAGGGAAAGTCTGTATGATGTTTGCACCAAGTGGAAGAAAATACTACTCCCCAGTACTACTATAACCCTCCATCGCATCTAGCTCCTATTAAAATGTCGTCCAGCCCAGTCAATATAGCTCAGTGATTGAGCATCGAGAAATTCACCGAGAGGTCGCTGGTTTGATTCCTGGTCAGGGCACATGCCAAGAGGGGGACAGCCAATTGACTATTCTCTTTCATCATTGTTGTTTCTATCTCTCTCTCCCTCTCCCTTCCTCTCTCTAAAATCAATAAAAACATATATATTTTTAAAAATGTGTTTCAATTCACTTGTTCTTATATGTTACTAGAGGCCCAGTGCACAAAATTTGTGCCCTGGGGCCGGGGGGGGGGGTCCCCTCAGCCCGGCCTTTGCCCTCTTGCAGTCCAGGAGCCCTCGGGGGATGTCCAACTGATGGCTTAACACATTAAACGCCAAGCCTGTTTTGTCTTCCTTTCCGTTTAGCCCATGGTATACGATTTCACCGATATGCTGGTGGCTGGAGATCTATGTAAGGTTGTGAAAAGACTGCATGTATATCTTCAGATATATTTCCTGTATGTATTTATTGCAATCTGTACTCTGTTTTCTTTTAGAAATGCTTTCTCTTCAGTCAGTTGTCTGTGGTTCGTGTTCCAGTGCAGTTTAAAATTTTTTTCTTTACCCATAACAGTGACAATGTCAGTAGAAGAAGCGTGTGAAAACGATTCAAGTGAAATTAGTTTCCCTAAAAAATGTCATAGAGTCGTTCTTTTTTCATCATCAGAGGATGAGGATGAGGATTTTAAAGAATGGCATGATCCGAGAGGTAATCAACCAAGGATTATGCCTTTCAACTATCTGTCTGGCTTTAGGATTGAAGACTTGAATGTAAAGTCATGTGCAACAGTAGAGAATTCTTATGAACTGTTTGTGCCTAATGAATTGTTTGAGGATATCGCCAAACAAATGAAATTATATGCGTCGCAAAAATTAGGGGTTGAAAACTCGCAGCATTTGTGTAAGTGGACTGTGACAAACAAAAATGAAAATGAAAAGATTTTTGGGTTGATTCTATGGATGGGACTAGTTAGACTACCATCTTTATGTTTATACTGGTCCCATGATCCTGCATCTATGCAAACTTTCCCCAAAAAATAATGTCAAGAAATAGATTTGAAATATTATTATGAATGCTGCATTTTTCAGACAATAAGGAGATAGATGTTTCCAATCATTTATGCAAAAGACAACTAATAGATAACATGGAAATAAATTTCAAAAAATATTATGATCCATCTGAAGCTATATGTATTGATGAATCTTTGATACCATTTCGTGGCTGCATAATACTTAGGCAATATATAAAACAAAAATGCCACAAATATGGTATTACATTATTTAAGTTGTGCTGTGGATCTGGGTACACGTATGCTTTTCATGTATATGCAGGGAAAAGTTTAGAAAAAGAAAATACAACACCAACTAATGTTGTAATGTCTCTTTGTAGAGATGTATTCAGTAAGGAACACACGTACACAGACAACTGGTACACAAGTTTAGATTTAGCATATAAATTACTTGATGATAATACTCATTTAGTAGGAACATTACGTTCAAATCAACGGGGAAATCCTCATGAAGTAACATCAAAGAAATTAAAACGTGGAGAAATTATAGTAAAAGAGAACAAAAAAGGAATAACCATTTTAAAATGGAAAGATAAGTGGGACATCTTACTTCATTCAACAAAACATACATCAGAGATGGTGAATGTTGAAAATAGATCAGGTCACTACTTGAAAGCAAAAATTGTAGTGGATTATAATGCAGGAAAAGCAGCAGTTGACATATCTGATCAAATGAGTGCCTATAATAATCCATTATGAAAATCCATGAAATGGTATAAAAAGCTAGCCTTTGAGCTCCTACTAAATACTGCTGTTCTCAATGCTCGTGTTTTATTTAAAAATATTAGCAAGAAGAATATGAGTATCACAGAATTTCGGGAGAAATTAGCTGTCCATCTAACAAATTGTCGGGATGAAGAAATTCCAAGTAGCAGTACTGTAAATATACCTCAAATATCTTGTCACAAACTGCAACAAAAAACTGGAAGAGTGTCTAAAGTTCAAAGATATTGTGAAAAATTCTACGAAGATAATGCAGCACGATTTGAATGAGATATTGCCAGAAAGTTGACAAAACAAGTTATAACATTCTGTGAAACCTGCACAGGACAACGATTTTTGTGTATACCGTGTTTTAATAATATTCATTAAAAAAAATTTTTTTGGTAACAAGTAATATTTAGGTACATTCTTTTATGATCTCCAAATTATTTAAAATTTATTAATAGAAGAATATAATTTTTTAAATTGTATATCGTCAGTCAACAGTGACTGACGTGGCCTGAATGAAAAGTATACTGTCAGTCATTAGTGACTGACGAGGTCTGGACAGAAAGTACAGTGAGTGACATGGTGCTTAATGTGTTAAGCAGGCAGTCGGACATCCTTAGTGCTGCTGCAGAGGCAGCAGAGGCTCCCGCCACTGCCACTGCACTCGCCAGCCATGAGCCCAGCTTCTGGCTGAGCAGCACTCACCCTGTGGGAGCACATTGACCAACAGGGGGCAGCTCCTGCGTTCAGCGTCTGCCCCCTGGTGGTCAGTGTGCATCATAGCGACCGGTCGTTCCATAGTTTGGTCAATTTGCATATTAGCCTTTTATTATATAGGATATTAGGAGATTTTAAAAAGAATGAGTTTTGTTATCTTGTCCTTTTTGCAACGTCATCAAACACTGACCTTTTGCATATATGATAGCAAATTAAATCCTAGGAATGACTTTTTCTGCCTAGAGCAGGTGAGGCAAAGCTGACTGAAGTTTGCATAGAGAGAACCAACACTGGGCCAGGTGTAACAGGGATCCCTGTGAAGGATAGCCAGAAGAGCCAATACAATAATGTCATGAATAGATTTGCTCATTTTCATCAACAAGAGATGACAGAGGAAAAGATCTACCCAGGCTCAGCATAGTACATGGGACATTGTTAATTCACACCAGCATAGCTTACCTTTCATTAGTTTCTATATCAAAACAGAACCTCTTGTCAATAGACTCTGTCTTCCTTCTCACACAGTACTTCAGGGTTAAGTCCAAGGGCCCCTGATAGAAGAGAAGAATTAATAGTCAATTTTGGGAAAAAATGTGCAAAAGCTTCTGCACCCTGTAGTGTCCTTCGTATCACTTGGAAGGCATCTGTCAGGGCAGCAGGAGCAATATATAGCCTCACTGAGAGCCTTTGTCCCTTCAGACGGTAGTTGCAGCAAGATGGTAGATGGTTTCTCCCTGTTGCAAAAATCAATAAATGGCTGAGATGAAAAGAAAATTATATTCAGAGTGGGCCATCACTCTTTTCCAAGTGCACTAGATTAAATAGGAAGCTCATTTCACATCATGTAAGGGGAGTGAAAGAGAAATAGGCTGCCCAAAATCACATTAAGTGTCCAAAATAAACTTTTCATTAGATGTCTAGGTAGGGAGATTGCTATGATTAGGTGGTTTTCTGCAACCTTCCTTCCATTAAAGTGGCTGATGGAGGAGGGGGGAGACAAACATTTCTCTTCCTCACTTCTAGACTCTTGAGGATGACAGGGCTTCCAAAAGCAATGACTCCAAAGATAGGGTAGGAGTAAGGAAAATAATTCAATGTGTGTATTAGTTAAGGTAGCATTTGGTATTTCGTATGTGCAGAATGGTTTGGCCCACCTTAGTCTTGTAGGCACTTAACAAGGCCAATGAAATCCACCTTTTCCACAGATTAAAATTCCCTGGTCCCACACTATTCAGTTTTCCTCTATTATTTCAACAGATACAATGTGGTATAGTTAAGAGAAGTAACATTTATTAATCTCCTACTAGGTGCCACATATTACACTAGGTATTCATAAACCAACTTTCTTCATAATCCTTGGAGGAAGCTCAGAGAAGTAAAATGGCTTACCCAAAGTCACCCATGTTGGTATAGTGAAAATGGCAATAAACTAAGAAGCTTAAAACCTGGGATCTTGTCTCAGTTAAGCCATTTACTAGCTACTGGTATATGACCCAGGGCAAATAATTTTCAGTCTCTGAATCTTAACTCCACAGTCTACCAGTATTAAATGAGATTAATACTACCCACCTTACTGTCTCAAATTCAGAAACACTCCCCAAATGCCAGGTCTATACCTAAGCACTGTACCATCTAAACTGGCCGGTACAGCTGATAATCCAATTATTTTCTCTCATTGACACACTCAACCACCAAAAGCTTATTCTTCTGCTGCTCCTGCACTATGCAAACTCAACTCTAAATTCATCATTCAATCTGCCTTCCCTGCCCCAGCACTTAGAATATCAAGCATTGTTAGTTGCTCAAGATGAGAGTGATTAACAACTGCATTATGTACGCACCCTCCCACTTTAAATTCTGAATTCCCTCACATTCAGTGGCATCACAGCTCAGGGGCCTACGTCTTGCCCTCCACTCCAGGTTCCCCTGCAACCACCCCCATCAGTGTAAAACTACTCTTATTTCATACATGAATCATGCTCTTTCGTGACTCCATAACTTTGCATATACTGTTTCCTCCACCTAAAATGATTATGTATATTATTTGCCTAGCTAAACTCTTACTTGTTCTACAACATGCAATTTAGTTTCATTTCCTCTAAAATCCTTCCCAAATCACATACATTGCCATTATATGTTTTCAACATTATATTAAAGCTTTATGTTTTCGTGAATGATTTCCCTACTTGACTGAGAAATCCTCAAGAATGTGGGCAATGTTTTATTTATCTTTATATCTCTAGCACATAATAAACAGCACTCAATAAATGTTTACTACATTATCATCCTTGCTATTTTTCTAAGAAGAAAAATGATACTAAGCAAAAAGTAATTTATTCAAGATCAAAAAGTTTCTATGCTACCCTGGCCAGCATGGCTCAGTTAGTTGGAGAATTGTCTCATGCACCAAAAGGTAGCGGGTTCAATTCTGGGTCAGGGCACATACCCATGTTGTGGGTTCAATCCCTGTCAGGATCCATGTTTCTCTCTCACATTGATGTTTCTCTCTCTCTCTTCTTCTTTCCCTCTTCCCCTTTCTTTCTCTCTCTCTCTCTCTCTCTCTCTCTCTCTCTCTCTCTCTTTCTCTCTCTCTCTCTCCTTCTTCTCACTTTCAAATCAATAAAAAACATATCCTCAGGTGAGGACTACAATAAATAAATAAATAAATAAATAAATAAATAAATAAATAAATCTATACTAATAATAGAGGAATATGCAAATTGTCCAGGATGCTGCAATGTCATGACCATTCAGCAGCGGCATGCACAGCAAACGTGGGTAAGTGGGACCTTGCAGCATTGCGGACAGGGGCGGGGCCATGGCGGGGGGGGGGGGTTAGGGAGGCACGTGCAGAGGAAGGCCTCTGCCTCAGGCCTGGCCTGGGGGTAGGGCAGTGGCGGAAGCCTTTGTCTTCACACGCCTGAGCTGGGGGTTGGGCAGGCATGCACAGAGGGAGGCCTCCACTGTGGGCCTGCCCCCAGGGGTCCACAGGAATCCGCCAGCTTCGGCTTACCTCTTTGGGGAAATCCATCGAGGAGCCACAGATGGATGGGCGGGGCCTACCTCTTTGGGAGGATGGATCCTGGAGCTCCCGCACTGTGACAGGGCACAGGCAAAGCTAGGGGATCCCCCCACCCGAGTGCATGAATTTCGTGGACCAGGCCACTAGTAATAAGTGAAAAACTATGGTACTAGGCCAGCTAGGATTTAAAACCAGTTCTTGAGACTCAAAAGGTAGCACTGTTTCTTCTTGCACAACTATCTGCCAGGGAAAGGATGAATATCTTATAAAACAGTTTTTGGGAAAGTGATCTGTAAAGTGAGCAGCACAACACAAATGGAAGTTGATAGGCTGAAGTAATAGGGAACACTGGTGAGTACCATAGTCAGAAAGAGGGCTAATTCCTCCATCTTCATATTCAGCTAACCATACCTCACAGTGTTACTGGGAGAGTAAATGAGGCACATGATGGAAAGTATTCAGCACCTGGCACACAGCAGACATTCAATACACAGTGGTTTTTTATGATATCATCATTGTCTCATTTGTTTATATTATTTGCCTTTCTGGAGCACAAGTTAATGACAGGAACTAAGTCAGAGAACTGACAAGAAGTCATTTCCAACTATAATTGAGGGAAATTCAAGTAATTACTTCCACCTCCCCTCCCTTCATAATAGAAAACCATGTTCCTCTTTCCATTCTATAAGGAATACCACAGTAAAACTACTAAGGCTGTGACAGGATTGTGGTTTTGCAAGCAGCCACTCAATGAAAAGGGAATAGGGGAAGATAAACTAAAAGGAGGGCTTGCTCTTAAATGCTAAGAGGAAATGAAAGAGGCATCCACTGCCTCTGTCTTGAGTTTTGCATTAGGCACCTCTGAGCAGGAGAGAAAGGGCCTAAATGAGCTTACTGTCTAAGAAAGAAACTTTCAAGTCCAGGATTTGGAAAGTAATCTATCTATATAAAATCCTAAGTGGCCAACACAAACGAAACAACTGAACGGATGACTGAACAGGCTGTGTGGGGCAACCAGGCTGGCAAGGGGGTTAGTGAGGGGCGACCAAACAACTGAGCAGCAGGCTGTGTGGGGTGACGAGGCCAGCAGGAGGGGCAGTGAGGGGCAACTAAATGACCTAACAGCAGGCTGTGTGGGGCAACCAGGTTGGCAGGGGGGTTAGTGAGGGACGACCAAAAGACTGAACACAGCAGGATGTGTGGGGTGACCAGGCCAGCAGAGGGAGCAGTGAGGGGTGGCCAAATGACTGAAAAACAGGCTGTGTGGGGCGATCAGGCCAGCAGGAGGCTTAGAGAGAGACGATCAAACAACTGAACAGCAGGCTGTGTGGGGAGACCAGGCTGGCAGAGGGGGGCAGTGAGGGGCGACCAAGCTGGCATGGGGGACAGTTGAGGGTGAACAGGCCAGCAGTGGGGGCAGTTGGGGGTGACCAGGCCAGCAGGGGAGGGGCAGTTGGTGGCAACGAAGCCTGCAGGGGGGGCAGTAAGAGGTGACCAGGCTGGCAGGGGGCAATAAGGGGCGACCATGCTGGTGGGTGGGGGGACAGTTAGGGGCAACCAGGCTGGCCAGGATGGGCAGTTGGGGGCGACCAGTTTGTCAGGTAGGGCCAGTTGGGCCCCCAGGCCCGCAGGCAGAGGCAGATAGGGTTGATCAGGCTGGCAGGAGAGCCAATAGGGGCGATCAGGCAGGCAGGCAGGCAGGCAGGTGAGCGGTTAGGAGCCAGCGGTCCAGGATTGTGAGAAGGATCCTGGATTGGAGAGGGTGCAGGCTGGGCTGAGGGGACCCCACCTCCATGCACGAATTTCATGCACTGGGCCTCTAGTGTATATATAAAAAGAAAACACTGCAGGACAGTATTGCTTATAAGCACTTGCCAGTCAGGTACATCAGCTCATTTCTAACAGAAAAGAAACAAGTTCAGTGCTTTGGAATCACATCTAAAGGTGCATTGGCAGACTGAAAAGTAAGGAAAATTTTGAAGTCATGAATGAGTAATAGGCCCATATGAAAACATGGATGAAGGTTCTGAAACACCTTCATACCATTTGGTATGCTTCATTAGAGTTGCATCCCATCTCCAGTTGACATTCGAAGCAGAGTAACAACATGTGTGGTTAAAGAACAAAAAAAGCAGTTTTTACTGATAAGGGTTTAATCTCCAACATTTACAGGGAACTCATACAACTTAACAAAAGGAAGATAAACAAGCCAATCAAAAAATGAGCAAAGGACCTAAATAGATACTTTTCAAGAGGACATTCAGAAAGCCAAGAGACATATGAAAACATGCTCCAAGTCACTAATCATCCGAGAGATGCAAATCAAAACAACAATGAGGTACCATCTCACACCTGTCAGAATGGCTATCATCAACAAATCAAAAAACGACAAATGCTGGAGAGGATGCGGAGAAAAGGGAACACTCCTACACTGCTGGTGGGAATGCAGACTGGTGCAGCCACTATGGAAGACAGTATGGAGTTTCCTCAAAAAGTTAAAAATGGAACTCCCATTTGACCCAGTGATCCCACTTCTAGGAATATATCCCAAGAAACCAGAAACACCAATCAGAAAGGATATATGCATCTCAATGTTCATAGCAGCACAATTTACCATAGCTAAGATTTGGAAACAGCCTAAGTGCCCATCAGCAGATGAATGGATTAGAAAACTGTGGTACATCTACACAATGGAATACTACGCTGCTGTAAAAAAGAAGGAATTCTTACCATTTGCAACAGCATGGATAGAACTGGAGAGCATTATGCTAAGTGAAATAAGCCAGTCAATGAAAGAAAAATACCACATGATCTCACTCATTTATGGATAATAAAGACCATTATAAACTGATGAACAAAAATAGATACAGAGGCAGAGCAGCATGGAACAGACTATCAAACTACAGCGGGAAGGCTGGGGAGGGTTGGGGGGCAAGAGGGGGGGGGGTAAGAGATCAACGGAAGGACTTGTATGCATGCATATAAGCATAACCAATGGACATAAGATACTGGGGATAGGGGAAGCCGGAGGAATGTCAAGAAGGGAAAAAAAAGGAGACGTATATAATACTCTTTGTAATACTTTAAGCAATAAAACAAAATTAAAAAATAAATAAATAAAATTACTGTAAAAAAAAAAATCCTGGAGTATGAGTTTGTGTGTGTGTGTGTGTGTGTGTGTGTGTGTGTGTTTGTGTGTTCCCAAAACTCCTGCAAAGGTAGGCAAAAGTGAGATGACAGAATAAAAGTTTTAGCTCTATGGTCTAACTTAACAAACATAACATAGCATATCAGGTTCTTCCAGATGAGTAAATTATATTCTGAGTATGTTAAAGTCATTTGCCACTTTGGAGAGTGGAGGAAAGTTTGGAGGGCAGAAGAAGAGGCATTAACTGCTTAAAGATATTTGAGTATTATTACATAGACTGTGAGGAGTAGGTTATTCCAATAGGTTTAGACAACAGACTAACTCTTTTAAAAAGAAATTTTGGTAAATTATTTATATTTTCAACTCTTGTTATTTAAAGGAATCCTATAATAGAGCCTTCTTAAAAGTAAGATATATTCTCCACTCACAATTCATCCATACTTTTGCAAATTTTCTTTGTACAATGTGACAGGCAGTTGTAATAATTTAGTAAATGGTATGAAAAAGTAGAGGCACTTTCCAAAGGCCTGACATAATTAACAGAGATCTTTTGCTCAACTGAGATGTATCTGGCCCAAAGAGAACATATGAAGCCATGGCTTCACATGACAGTGATGGATTTGCTTCTTTGAGACTAAGTCAACATATACTCTCTTCTGAGATGTAGTCATAGATGCATTGCAAAAAATGTGGCACCATAAAGAACTGACCTGCTTAGCGCCTGGCTTCTGCTCCATTGGTGTCATGGTGAGTGTTTTGGTCTCTTTCTCATACTGGCAGTAGTATTTCACCCAGGATATTCCCAAAGCCCCTAGAAAGAGAGGCAAAAGTGAGATAACAAATTAATTTTTTCGCTGCATGGTCAGTCCGACCCCAAGATGGAAGCTGTGTACACCTTGGCCTTCAGGGTCATGCTCCAGATCCAGCCCTATACATATGGAGATCTGAAACCTTATCAACTCTTTCCACATCTGCTCTGGCTTGCTCCAAATCATTCACCTTGCCATGTTCCCTATGAATGCTGCCACTACACATCTTATTGCATAAGCTGGAAACTTATCAACAGACATTCAATACAAAATGGCTTTTTATGATATTACTAGAGGTCCGGTGCATGAAATTTGTGCATGGGGGGGGGGGTACCCTCAGTCCAGCCTGCACCCTCTCCAATCTGGGACCCCTTGGGGGATGTCCAACTGCCAGTTTACGGCCCCCCCTGCCAGCCTGGTCGCCCCCAACTGCCCCCCTCTGCCAGCCTGGTCACCCCTGACTGCACCCCATGCCGGCCTGGTTGACCTCAACTGCCCTCCCTGCTGGCCTAGTTGCCCCCACTGCCCCCTTGTCAGCCTAATCGCCCCCATCTGCCCCTCTGCTGGTGTGGTCACCTCCAACTGCACCCCCCCACCGGCCTGGTCACCCCTAACTGCCACCCTCCTCACAGCCTGATTGTCCCACGCAGCCTGCTTGTTCAGTCATTTGGTCGTCCCCTACTAACCCCCTTGCCGGCCTGGTCACCCTACGCAGCCTGCTTGTTCAGTCGTTTGGTCATCCCTCATTAACTCCCTTGCCAGCCTGGTTGCTACATGCAGACTGCTTGTTCAGTCATTTGGTCATCCCTCACTAACCCCTCTGCCGGCCTGGTCATAGGCAGCCATCTTGTAAGGGTGTGAGGGTTAATTTGCATATTACCCTTTTATTATATAAAATCATTGTCTCGTTTATTATATTATTTGCCTTTCTAGAGCACAAGTTAATGATAGGAACTAAATCAGAGAACTGACAAGAAGAAGTCATTTGTGTTTTCAACACTGTATTAAAGCTTTATGTTTTCATGTCTGATTTCCCTACTTGACTGAGAAATCCTCAACAACTTTGGCAATGTTCCTACTTCCCTGTAATGTGCCCCATTTGATTGGTGGTTGGGTTCTGCCCATTCTATCCCCTAAATGTCTGTCTTTCAGCAGTCTCATAGTCTCCATCTCTTCTAGAACTAAATTAGTCCCACACCCTATTGCTGACTTATCTTTTTCATGTTTTATAAGATATTTCAAGCAAAATTAATCATAATTTTTCCAAGTAATTATTTCAGTGATCTTCTCTTTGGTTTCCCCCATCTCTGTTCTAGTCCATTCTTTCTAGTCCATTCTCTACTCTTTTGTTAGAGAAATATTTTAACTATATATCTCTGTTATTCTTCTCATTATAAACCATCCATGATTTTTCCATTATCTGAAAACTCCTTAGGTTGGCCCACAAAGTTCTTCATGTTATGATCGTATTTGCTGTTTCAACGTTGCCTTTTCTAATTTTATCTGTGTTCCAGTCTCATTGAATTTCTTTCAGTTACCAAATAAATATGTGACCGTATAATTTACCATCCATATTCAAGATATATTTAAGAGTGAATGGGGCACCACTGTTAATTACATCAGGACAACAGATATAAACCAGGACTATTTTTGGCAAATCAAGACCCTACAAATAAACTATATCCTCACACACCTCTGTGCCTTTATTCATGCAGTGGTATACACCTGGAATTTTATTTCCCCTTTTGTTTACATGTCAGGATCCCACTCATAATTCAAGTTCCAATTCGAACATAACTTTCTCAGTGAGAGTTATATATATATATATACACACACACACAAATAAAAGAGAAAGATGCAAATTGACCGTACCTTTGTGACGCCCACCAGCCAATCAGGAGTAAGTATGCAAATTAACCCAACAAAGATGGTGGGTTGCTTTGCATACGCAGGCTCTGAGCAACCGGGGGGTGTTCTGCACCGCCCCAGACGCTCCAGGCCTCTGGGCAGCGTGGGAAGGCGGAAAGGTGGCTCCGGGCCAGAGCAAAGGCAGTGCTGGCAGCCAGGGGAAGGAAGGCCCATTCTTGCACAAATCTTCATGCATTGGGACTCTAGTATGTATATATATACATACATACTAGAGGCCCGATGCACAAAATTCATGCAAGAGTAGGCCTTCCTTCCCCCTGCTGCTGGCACCGGCTTCCCTCTGGCACCCAGGACCCAGGATTCCCTCCAGCACCGGGACGCGAGTTTCCCTTCGGCCACCGGCAGGCACCCAGGACACAGGCTTTCCTCACAGTCCCGGCTTCATCTGGAAGGTTGTCTGGAAGGACGTCCAGTCTAATTAGCATATTACTCTTTTATTGTTATAGATATCCCTTATATATATGCTCAATGCATTTCATTATAATTATTAACATGCTTGTCCATCTTCCTCATCAAACTGTGTACTTCTTGAGGGCAAAAACGAAGGTTTTTCATTTTTTTGTATGCCTAATGCACTGAATATTATCTGGAAAAAAGGATGCTCAGTAAGCATACATTCAACTGAGTAGCAATGCCATATCTATTTGACAAATTAGAAAATGGGGACATAGAAGGATCATATAGCTAAATAGTATCAGAGCCAAGATTAGAAACCCATTATTCTATACTTCTTTTATAATATTACAGTGGTTCATAACCAGAGGCAATTTTGCCTCCCAGGGGACAGTTGGCAACATCTAAAGACATTTCAGATTATCACACCTAGGGAGTTCTATTAAAATAAATGGGGAGAGATGCTGCTAAACATCCTATAATACATAGTATGCCCCCCTCAGAACAAAGAATTACCGATCCCAAAATGTCAATAGTGCTGAGACTGAGAAATCCTGCAATGCAGAGTTAAAGGAATGAATCTGACAAATGGAAGAACACATCTTTGAAAATCATAAAACTTTAATTGCTCTAAGGGAGGAAAAGCAAAATAACACCACTGCTACGATATTATGCTTTGTGTATTGCAGTGGTTTTTGCCACTGGTAACCTCTGGGTAGCCTCTTTTGCCTATTCTCCAGGTAGAATAATTCTGGGAAGGGAATAAAATCATAGGCTTTATGGGCATTAGGTCATAGTTCATAAGGAAAATCAAACAGTATATACATGTTTCCATAATGTAATTTAGGAGGCAGGAAAACTTGAATCATCTGCAATGTTTGGTGAATGGATAAGTTAACACATTTTCCTTGGCTATCAGTGAACAATTGCCTTGCCCACTGAAATCACAATGGTTATTTAGTGCTTTATGGGCAACCATGTAATCCTAAGGCAGTGGAAGTTACAAAGTATGGAGGTAGGAGCATAGGTTTTGACTTTTCGTACACATGAGTTTACTCGTAGGCTGCTACTTGACAGTTGGCTGACTTTCAACTAGTGATATCTCTACGCCTCAGTAGTCTCATGTGAAAAATGTCTCCGACAAAATGGTTTCAAAGATTAAATGAGATACAGTACTTAAAGCACTTAGTAGGTATAATAAATATTATTTTTCTGCCTCGGTTCCCCTAGCTCCCTTTTTGCCCCAGTAAAAGAGTCATTAAAATAACTAAATGATTAACAATCCCCATTTTGAATCTCAGAGAAAACCTGCGGTCTTATTATCCCAGAGCCTTTGGAAAACAATTCCTTAACTTTCCCCTCTAATTTATCCTTCCTTTTTATTTTCACTATTCCAAGACTTCTCTCCAAAGAGGTATAGTTCTCAGGTCTGTGATCATTATTGATGCCTGAAGTTTGGAAGGGCGAAGAAGCAGTAGGTGCTTGCCTACTTAAAACCAGTGGGTATCCTGTATTCCCACTTACATTTCTCTTGGGTATAGAGATAGCCTTCAATTGTTGGCTGTCCTGGAAGTTTGCAGGTCTGGGGAGCCTCTTTCATCCTTTTCTTAAGTTCTTCCATCTCTTCTCGAGTACTGGAGAAATGATTTCTTGTCTGTCAAGACATTATCATCATCATCATCATCATAAATAAGCAATTTTTGGTCAGAGACCCAGAGTTTTCTTGGCTCTTATCATATGTTACAACACAGCAATATAAATAGCAGTGTACCCATAAAACCACATTTGGGAGATTTTTTTTCTAATAGGAATCGCATAAGACTGAAATAAATAAGGGTTCTTAGAATTCTGAGCATGAGACTGACGACTGCTTCACCAAGAGAGCAACTTCTAACTTCTGCCTCAAGTAAAGTTACTGCCTACCGAACTCTGATATAAATTCTGACCATTAGAGGGTGCTTTCTTTGAAGATAGGTGAACAGAAAACCTATGTTTTCATAACCATGAATAACAAAAGCTAATGGTAAGAAGTAATATTCTAAAAATTCAAAACTAAAACACAGTGGCAAAATACAGTTTGAAATGTGGGTATAAAAATCATTAGAAGTCCTTAGCATTTAATCTCAAGATTGTCACATGAGAAAAGAAAAAATGGTGATCGAACAGGTAGACCTGTCGTGCACCAAGGCCATACAGGAAATACAACTAATTTGGAGCGCATTCATCTGGAATTACCAATTGAGGTCCAGCTGAGGAGGCGACTTATATCAAGGAAGGACAGAAAACACGTGGAGACATGTAGGAAGGGTGAGGTCACAAGAGGAGCTGACCCAGTTCCCAGGGGTGGCAGGCCAGAGGGGCCGAGAGAGGAAGGAGCACTGGGTTACAGGAGTGTCTGTTCCCTCAGAAGATAGAGGCTCGGAACTCAGGCTGGCATCCACAGCCCGGAGCACCAGAACCAAGATCCGAGGCCCACATAACATCCAGCCATGAAAGGTGGCAGGGTTGCTGGCTGCAATGGAATCTGGAGTAGGTAAACCTGAGTCAGTTGGAGAGACAGCCTGTTTCGTTTCGTTGTTTTTTGTTGTTGCTGTTTGTTAACCCCAGAGCACAGGAGTATTCATTTGCAGCTACTCACTTGAGACTTTGGTGCAGGGAGGGAGGTGTGGACTTCAGGTGCCTAAGGAGAGGCTGAGTAGAAGCATTACAGGGAGATGTGGAAAAGCAGCAGCCAGAAGTATTTCGTTGTAGGCCCCGAAAACTAAAGGGCCATTTTTGCTGAGAGGAACTAGCTGCTCCCAGTAGCCACATGGCAAGAAAAAAAGAAAAAAAAACTGCCCTAGGTGATACACCTGTTCCACCATCAGGATCCCTGCATGCCAGATCCTGCATTTTGACCTTTTTCGAGGAAACAAAAGCAAAGGCCAAGCCTAGGGGTTTGAACAATCTCAGGAGCATCATGACTGGATTACAGGAGGGGCCACCCACCCCACTATGCAGGAACCAGACTGGTTACTATCCCTGCACAGGAGAGCTGATATAAACTCCAGGTTTCCAGCCAACCCCACTAGTCTCCATACAAGGATCTCTGCCTAGTCAAGGGCAGAGTAATATTTTGGGCCACTCACGGAGGAATAGCTCTGGGACTGAGAAACACACCTACCACATTCCCTGAAAACTAAACAGCACCTCCCCCATCTAGAGCCCTTTCAGAAACAGAGTTTTGAGTGATTAAGATTGACATCTGGATAGCAGGCAAAGGCAGGCAGAAGTGGAGCCCAGGGAACCAGGAAAAGTTTGCTGACTCAGCCCTACGTCCTATGCTGCTAACAAACCTGTTAGAGGGCAGATTGGCCCCTCCTGTATGCAGCCAAGGCCTATGGAGACAGACACAAATGGTGCATATGTGGGTCACTTGGAGTTTCAAGCAGGTTGCTGAAAGCCAAAGGAGGTCAGTTCCTGACAGTGCTTAGCACCCAAGTACCTCACAGGAGCCCAGAATTGGCAGACAGAAGGGTGGGATCCAAAGAGAGCTCCCATGGGACACTAAACTTGGCTAAAATGAATGCCACTTCACTTTTTTTCTCCCTTTTGTCTTCTCTTTTCTTTCTTTTCTTTTTTTCCCTTCTAAAATTTATCTTTATCTATCTGCTTTATTGATTTGTTATTATTCTAGTCTCCATTTTTTCCTTCATATATCTAATTTTCCTCTTCCCCTTTCCTACTCAACTTTTTTCTTTTTTTATTACTATTTTATTTTCTCTTTTCATTCTCTCTTTTCTTTTTCTCCTGATTTCTCATCTTATTTTTTCCTTGTTTTAGGTCAATCTGCTTTCTCCTCTAATTTACTTTTCAAATTTTTTCTTGTATTTTATTTTCATTTATCTCCCTCCTTTATTTTAAACCATTTTCTTTCATCTATTACCCCAATTCTTTATTCTTATTTTCTTTATTTCAGCTCTGCATCTACATATTCCATACTCCCTTTTTTGTTTGTTTGTTTGCTTTGTTTTATTTTCTCCTCATAATTTTTCTTTCTTTTTTTCTATCACTATTGCTCTCTTTTCTCTTTTGCAATTCTCTATTTTCTGGTCATTGCTTTTGTTGGTGCTGTAGGGGTCTTGTGTGCATTTTTGTTTTATTTCTTCTGTTTTGTGTTTTGTTGTGTTATATTTTATTCTGTTCGGTCAGCATCTCCATGACAGCTCACAAGATGTGGTTGGGGTGAGCCACATAGCCAGCCAGCCTGAGAGGAGACTCCATCCACGAACAGGATAATAACATTCAAGACCCAATTACAACATGAGAACCCAAATAGCTCAAACAAGGGGGATTCCTAGAGGACCCAGCTCAGAAGATCTAAGAGACCACACCACTGGGTACCACAAAATATCTACTACATAAGACCACCCACACAATCTGGGAGGCACAGCAGTTTGATCTAACACATAGAAACAAAAACAAAGGGATAGCAAAAACGGGGAGACAAAGATATGAAAGAAAAGGAGGAATTGCCAGAAAAGGAATTAAATGAAATGGAGGTAAATAATTTATCAGATAAAGAATTCAGAGTAATGGTGATAAAAGTGGTCAAACAATTCAGTTAGACCTATAAGCAACTTAATGAGAACTATAAGGGTCTTAATGAGAGCTACACCAACATGAAAAGAGAGGTTGTAACAATAAATAAGAATCAATTGGAAATAAGGAATGACATGGCTGAAATAAAGAACACCCTAGAAGGATTCAACAGTAGACTAGAAGAAGCTGAGGACTTAATCAGCAAATGAGAAGATAATGTAGAAAAAAACAACAAATCCATTCAGACCAGCAAATGGGGAAAAAAAAATTTTAAAGCAAGAGGGACTCTAAGGGAGCTTTGGGACAACATGAAACATAACAACATTCGCCTTATAGGGGTACCAGAAGGAGCAGAATCTAAGAAAGGAATAGAGGACCTGTTCAAAGAAAGAATGGCAGGAAATTTCCCTAAATTGGTGAAAGAAAAAGTCACTCAAGTTCAGGAAACACAGAGAGTCCCAACAAGTTGAACTCCAAAAGACCAACCTAGGCACATATTAATTAAAATGGCAAACATTAAAGACAAAGAAAGAATCTTAAAGGCTGCAAATGAGAGACAAAGTTACCTACAAGGAAGCTCCCATTAGACTGTCAGCTGACTTCTCAATAGAAACACTTCAGGCCAGAAGGGAGTGGCATGAAATATTCAAAGTATCACATGATCTCACTCATATGTGGAATCTAATAAACAAAATAAACTTATGAATAAAATAAAACCAGAGACATAGAAGCATGGAACAGACTGACGAATTTCAGAGGGAAGATGGGAGAGAAGTGATTAACTGGGGAAATTATATGCATATACTCATCACCCATGGACACAGACAATAGAGCAGTGAAGGCCTGGAAGGGGAGGGTATGGGGAGGAGGGGGTCAATGTGAAAAAGTAAAACACAAACAAAGGGGACATCTGTAATACTTTCAACAATAAAAATAAATTTTAAAAAAATATTATCAAATGACAGTGACAAAGGTGATCTGAGCTACCCTATCTAGTTGGACCCATTCTAGTCACTGTCCTCTAAATGAGTTAACCATATATATTAATGCAAAGGCTTCTAAAACTCATACTTATCAAGTTATATTTGAAAGAAGATTTAAATGATTAACTTGGTTATAGGAATACTTTGTAAATCAGAAGAAGATAAGGGCTCTCACATTCTGGTGAAGGAAATTACCCAGTAATGAGAGTCCCCCAAAAGAAAAACAACAACAATAGCAACTGTATGTCAGGATCCTCCTAAACAAACAAGTCAAAATTTATTTCCACTGCCACTTACCATTTTCATCTAAAAATACACCTATAAATTTCATGTAATGAAACAACTAGTTCAAAGTTACTGCCTCAGTGATGCCTTCTTTTACTATACTAGTTGGTCAATTATTAAACTCTCTGTGCATCTTTGAAATTTTTGGTCTTAATTTTATTATAGCATTTATCAAAAGGCATTATGAGTTATCTGTGGTTATGTCTCTCTCCACCAAGAGACTGTATATTCATTGAAGACATAAAAATTAACATTCCTCATTGTATGAGGCATGTTACAATACCTGGCACACCATACATATTCATTATACCCACAAGCATTCATTAAATGAATAAATAAATAAGAAAAAAATGTGACAAGAATGAGAAGGCTGTGCCTATGCCCATCTATAAGGGCCAACATGGGAAAGAAAGTGGAGAAAACCTTTAAAAATAATCTAGTTAACTCTAGTAATATGTAGTGAAAAAAGGGATAGAGGCGGAAATGGGCATTCATGGCAATAAAACCCACAATGAGAGTGTCTTGATTGATAAGCAGGGAAGTAGCATAAAACCTGTGCATAAACAAGCCAATAACTGAGCTCTGATCTGGGAGAGAGACAGCAAATTAACAACTCTTAATAAATATTGGATAAAGTTGTCAGTGGGTAGAAGGGTGGGTTTCAGCAACAGTCAGTGCCAAAGACAGGGAAGAGCTAATAATGGAAGAGCAAGAACCGTCCAGTACACTAAAATATCTGTGATCCACACCAGTGTGTCTTGACAAATTGGCTGGGGTGCAAAAACCTAGAATTCTAAAGTCAAGGTCATCAGGGTTTAAATCCAATTGTAATGCAGAGTCAAGTGAAAAAACCCATATGCAAACTTACATTCTGCAAACTTAGCTGGAGCTTTTGTTTGTAAGGGAGGAAATCCTGTGTGAGCTCCACAGTCAAGTTGTTGGAAATGAAGAGGCTATGGAGAAAGGCCAAAACCTAGGGAAAACATGTAAAAATATCTTTATCACAGTGCCTTCTTATTGATCAAATAAAGAAAACAGAAGCACAGAAAAGAAATTCCACACAGTGTTTACCCAGTATAGTGTTAAAATCAGTCATGCAAACACAAACATGTCTACACATAGCTATTGTCTTACCAGGATAAACATTTACACTGAAATCAGTTCCAGAAAATAAGGACTACTAACAAATTTATTCATTCAGATCCTTTTAAGATAGCATATAAAACCATTCATAATTTTGACTGCATGAAGACAGACTGTGTCTTTTCTCTCTAAATCCTAAGGATTAGCACAGAGTAGGCACTCAATAAATATTTGTTGAATAGGTAGCTAAATAGATAAACGAATAAAGTAAACATCTGTACCTTTATGAAGACTGCCATAATGCTAAAGAATTCAAAGAGCCTAAACCCCAATTTTAAATTAGAAAAGTTTTGAGGGAGTTGCAGAAGACATACAATAAATAAAATATTTTAATGCCCAAAGTGCTTGACCCCATTAAAAATCAAATATATATATAAATAAAAACAAAAAAATTATGAATTCAATCAAATATAAACATTTAAAAAATAATGATCAATGTTGGCAATAGTGAAGTATAATAAAAAGTACTAAAAATTGCTCTATAGTTTTTAGAAAGTAAACAGGTAAGAACACATAAAATGCACACACACCATATACATATAAACACATATGTATATATAAATACATATATATATATATATATATATATATATATATATATACACACACTAATAAAGAGCTAATATGCTAATGGTCGATACGCCGTAACGGTAATGACCAGTCATTAGCATATTACCTGGGGCATTGCTCTGGAAACTGGGTGGCAGCAGGGAGGCCCCAGAGGAGGCGGGACCATCCTGTGCCAAGGAGGCGGGACCATCCCGAGCCAAGGAAGGCAGGGGTGAGAGCGCACAGCGCCCCCCTCACCAGTCCTTCACAACCCACCACTTGCACTCTCCACGGCCCACCTGCTAGGGGAAGGAGCACAGTGCAGCAGGCGGGAGGCTTCCACACTCCTCTGGCGCCATGATGGGGCGGAGTTGCCACATTGCTCCAGAGATGGGGCAGAAGCGGGGAGGAGCCCAGAGAAGGCGGGACCAGCCCATGGCTACTAGAGGGACTGAGGGCGGGGCTTGAAGCAGCCAGAGAAGGCCAGAGGGTTTGGGAGCTGGGCTAGGCACGCTGGAGCTCTGCGTGGACAGGTTCGGGTATCAAGGCAGGGCAGGGCCACGCTATTTCAAATCGCACGCTGGGTTCCTAGTACACACACACACACACACACACACACACACACACACACTGAGTGGCCAGATTATTATGACCACTTTTTGCCTTCAATACTGAGGTGATTCTTCTTGGCATTGACTCCATGAGATGATGAAAGGTGATGCGAGGAATCTGACACCATGCCTGATGAATAGCACTGTCCAGTTCTGTGAAATTTGATGGTTGTGGAACCAGCTGCCTGATGGCTCTTTTAACTTCGTCCCACAAATGCTCAATTGGATTGAGATCTGGTGACTGTGGGGGCCACCTAAGCAAGGTAAAGTCTCCATTATGTTCTTGAAACCACTCCTGCACAATACGAGCACTGTGGCATGGCGCATTGTCTTGTTGGAAGAAGCCATCTCCATTGGGATACACCATCAACATGATAGGATGAACTTGATCAGCAATGATACTTAGGTATGTTATGCTATTCAGACATTGTTCCGCATGAATTAAAGGGCACAAATCATGGCAGGAAAACATGCCCCAAACCATAACACTGCCCCCACCAGCTTGAAGGGTTGTACTCATGCATGTGGGGTGCATGGTTTCATACTGTTTCCGCCAAATTCTCACTCTGCCTTCTGCATGATGCAACTGGAAACGTGAGTCATCGGACCACATGACTTTTTTCCAATGCTCGACTGTCCAATCCTTGTGTTCCTGTGTGAATTGGAGACGTTTTATCTTGGTAACTGCAGACAGCAAAGGTGTTCGAACAGGCCTTAGGCTTCCATATCCCTATGATGCAGTGTACGACTAATTTGCCTACAAACATCAGGTGGTCACAATAATCTGGCCACTCACGTTCCAATATATCCCACGTTCAAAGGCTATTAAATCGCGTTGTTTACCCATATCTTCAGAAAAAAATCACTTCTACTGTCGTGGTAAACAACCTGCTTCCCTATTTATAATGGTCTGGCCCTCTAGCAACTTCAGTGCGGAATTATAGCTAATTTGCCAATAAACGTCAAGTGATCATAATAATCTGGCCACTCAGCATGCGCACGTGTGTGTGTGTGTGTGTGTGTGTGTGTGTGTGTATCTGGTAAACACATACAAAACTATATATAAACGCATATATATATGTGTGTGTGTGTGTGTGTGTGTGTGTGTGTGTGTGTATCACACACAGTACTATACACAATCTTCCTGTTTCTTTCCCAAGGTTTCCCATCTCAGGAAATTACACTACCCAATCAGTCAATCAAACCAGAATGTAAAGAATAAGATCTGATTTCTCTTTCACTCTCATCTCAATCTATTCTATCAATAATTCCTGTCAGTTTTGCTTCCAAATATGTCTCTAATCCAGCCACTGTTTTCTATTTCCACTACTGCTGGAGGCTAATTCCAGCATGTCATAAATGCAAGAAGTTTCATCAAAAGGTTTTTGGAACTTAAGGCTTCAACAGGGCTAAAGAATCATATATTACCTGCTGCTGGAATAGCTGAAAGCATTTCCCCAAACCTGAAAATCTACCTGCAGCTGGCCAAAAGGCTGAACAGCTGTAGGGATTTCCTCAAACCTGAAAATTTGCATATATTATTGCCTGCTACTGAGACAGCCAAAGGCAGTTCCCCAAACTGACAATGCCTACTGTATACCAAACCTTAACCTTTGAGATTATATATATATATATATATATATATATATATATATATCCTATCTAATAAAAGAGAAACATTGTAATTAGCGTATGACCGCTACCCTTCCCATTGGCTAATCAGGGCGATATGCAAATTAACTGCCAGCCAAGATGGCGGCCGGCAACCAGGCAGCTGGAAGCGAACAAGAGGCTTGCTTGCTTCAGTGAAGGAGGACTCCAACGTTCCCCGCCTGCCTTGCCGGCCTCTGAGCTGGCAGTTTGAAACATTGTAACAAATATAGAAGTTAAACAAAACCCCAGAAACTAAACAAAACCCCAGAAACCAGCTTTCAGCCCGCCGGGATCTCAGAGCTGGAGATGATACAGTGTTTCGATTATAGAACCCAAACAAACCAGATACCTGCTTTCAGCAGCAGAGGACTTGGCCCAGAATAAAAATAAAAAAAAAATAAAAAAAGGAGCGGTTGGGAGCTTCAGTCACCCACCAGCCTGAAAACAGCCCTCAGCCTCTCACCCAGACAGGCCAGGCACCCCAGTGGGGACCCCCACCCTGAAGGGTGTGTGACCAGCTGCAAACAGCGATCATCCCCTCATCCAGGCTGGCCAGGCACCCCAGTGGGGACCCCCACCCTGATCCAGGACACCCTTCAGGGCAAACCAGCCAGCCCCTACCCATGCACCAGGCCTCTATCCTATATAGTAAAAGGGTAATATGCCTCCCAGCACCGGGATCAGCGGAGCAGCAAGGCCTCCCGGCACCGGGATCAGCGTGACAGGGGGCAGCGCCCAAAGCCCCTGCTCGCCCTGCGGCTCTGTGTGTGACAGGGGGCGGGGCCACAACCTCCCTATCCGCCCTGCTCTGTTTGTGACAGGGGAAGGCGTCCCAACCCCCTGGTCAGCCCTGCTCTGTGCCTGATAGGGGGGAGCTCCCCAACCCCCTGATCGCCCTGCGGCTCTGTGTGTGACAGGGTGCGGCACCCCAACCCCCCCCCCCACGGGCCCTGCTCTGTGTGTGACGGGGTAGAGCCATAACCTCCCCATCAGCCCTGCCCTGAGTGTGAGAGTGGCGGCACCCCAACCCCCTGATCCGCCCTGCTCTACGTGTGACAGGGGGCGGTGCCCTAACTCCCCTATCGGCCCTACTCTGTGCATGACAGGGGGGAGCTCCCCAACCCCCTGATGGGCCCTGCTCTGTGCGTGACAGGGTGGAGCTCCCCAACCCCCTGTGGGCCCTGCTCTGTGCGTGACAGGGGGGAGCTCCCCAACCCCCTGATCGACCCTGCTCTGTGCGTAACAGGGTACGGAGCCCCAACCCCCTGATTGGCCCTGCTCTGTGCGTGACAGGGGGTGGCGCCTCAACCTCCCCATCGACCCTGCCTTGAGTGTGACAGGGGGCGGTGCCCCAACCCCCCAATTGGCCCTACCCAGAAGTGTGACTGAGGGTGGCATCGCAACCTCCCAATCCGCCCTGCTCTGTGCATGACAGGGGGCGGCGCCCAAATTCCCCAATCGGCCCT